GACACACACCCCACCCTCCCGTACCATTCATGACACACACCCCACCCTCCCGTACCATTCATTACACACAGTCCACCCTCCCGTACCATTCATTACACACACCCCACCCTCCCGTACCATTCATGACACACAGTCCACCCTCCCGTACCATTCATGACACACACCCCACCCTCCCGTACCATTCATGACACACACCCCACCCTCCCGTACCATTCATGACACACACCCCACCCTCCCGTACCATTCATGACACACACCCCACCCTCCCGTACCATTCATGACACACACCCCACCCTCCCGTACCATTCATGACACACACCCCACCCTCCCGTACCATTCATTACACACAGTCCACCCTCCCGTACCATTCATTACACACACCCCACCCTCCCGTACCATTCATGACACACAGTCCACCCTCCCGTACCATTCATTACACACACCCCACCCTCCCGTACCATTCATGACACACAGTCCACCCTCCCGTACCATTCATGACACACAGTCCACCCTCCCGTACCATTCATTACACACACCCCACCCTCCCGTACCATTCATTACACACACCCCACCCTCCCGTACCATTCATTACACACAGTCCACCCTCCCGTACCATTCATGACACACACCCCACCCTCCCGTACCATTCATGACACACACCCCACCCTCCCGTACCATTCATTACACACAGTCCACCCTCCCGTACCATTCATTACACACACCCCACCCTCCCGTACCATTCATGACACACACCCCACCCTCCCGTACCATTCATTACACACAGTCCACCCTCCCGTACCATTCATGACACACACCCCACCCTCCCGTACCATTCATGACACACAGTCCACCCTCCCGTACCATTCATGACACACAGTCCACCCTCCCGTACCATTCATTACACACACCCCACCCTCCCGTACCATTCATTACACACACCCCACCCTCCCGTACCATTCATTACACACACCCCACCCTCCCGTACCATTCATTACACACAGTCCACCCTCCCGTACCATTCATGACACACACCCCACCCTCCCGTACCATTCATGACACACACCCCACCCTCCCGTACCATTCATTACACACAGTCCACCCTCCCGTACCATTCATTACACACACCCCACCCTCCCGTACCATTCATGACACACACCCCACCCTCCCGTACCATTCATTACACACACCCCACCCTCCCGTACCATTCATTACACTGCAGGGAGGAACCAAAGATCTCTTTCCTTAATCTGGTAACTCAGCTGAGCAGTGCACTCTTCCCAGAACCTTGCTAGAGTCCGGTTTTCTGTATTCTGTATTTGTTCTCCGTTCATTATGAACCCTGAGCAGATGAAGCTACTTTTCTCTCTTTCGGTTTCTTAGTAACTAGGCCAAGTACAAGGCTCACGGCGGGGACTGAATAAATACTGAAAACTTGCCTGCGAGCGAGTCAATGTTCATCAGTTGTTGAGGCACTCAGGGGCCAGGCTTCACTTGCTCTTCTCTCTGCCTACTCCACTCCTCAAAAGCAAAACCCCTGGATATACCCAAATAACTGGCTTCTTTGCTTTAAAAAATTCTGTCCAGGCCAGGCGTGGTTGACTCATGCCTGTAATCCCAGCACTTTGGGAGGTCGAGGCGGGTGGATCACGAGGTCAAGAGATCGAGACCATCCTGGCCAACATGGTGAAACCCCGTCTCTACTAAAAATACAAAAATTAGCTGGGCATGGTGGCGCGTGCCTGTAGTCCCAGCTACTTGGGAGGCTGAGGCAGGAGAATTGCTTGAACCCGGGAAATTCTGTCCAGCTTTAATCGGTTAGAATAGGGGTCCTTGCCCTTGTCATATGCTGTCCAGAATGAAGTCCAAATCCAGGATTCTAGGAGCAGGTCGTGCTTTCCTGACCCTGCCTAAGTCTCAAGTGCACCTGCTTTGATATACATGTCATGGCTGTAAGAGGGGCTGGGATTTCAGCACACGGTAGCCAAATCTGGGGATCTGGCAGCTGCCTTCGCCTTCTTGGCTAGTATTTTACAGTCCACTTTGCACCGAAGGGTTTTTATAAAATTGCTTAAGGAAATCAGAGGAGTGAGCCTTGCTAGCAGAAAGCGGACTAAAACAGATGCACAGATGTTGCCCCTACAAAGTCCAAGGGATACCTGAGGCCAGGGGACATCTACAGGGCCAGTCTAGAGACATCCACAGCAGTGTGGGGGAGGACCGTGAAGGCAGCCACATAGCAGGTGCCCGCTGCTGCTGGGTCACCCAGGGCTCTGCCTCGGCTCCACGGCCGCCCAGAAGGGAAGGTCCCATGATACCTCTTGCTTAACAACTGCATGACACGGGCCATTCACCTTCCAGGAAGATTCCAGGGTAAAGATCAGCCCCAAAATAGCCCGTCTGGGTTTTTCTCTCACTTCTGTTGGCAGCACCCTCAGAGCACAGGGAGTACAGCAACACGAAGCCCACGAAGCGGCCGATTCATAAGACTTGGATTGCCTTTCTTTCCAGCAACACGAATTGGTTTAGAGATAAAAGACGTTAATCTTCGACAAGAAAAGCACCTCTGGATGTCTCCAAATGTCAGAATAGAAAGTTGAGCAGAACTTTAGAGACTAAGCCACAGTAACAACGTATTAGCTTCCTGTCCACCTCAATCTTGCCCAAGTAGCTTTTACGCTCTGAAGAAACAAGCTCGCTGCGTAGGATTATGTCTGTAAGGTGTTACCCACGGAGCTTAACAAGTGCTAAATAATAACACTTCCCGTTCCGAAGATAGAGCCACTGTAACTGCCTACCACACCAAGTTGACCAGTGGAAGGTACTCACTTTTGCTGTGTGTGTGTGTATGTATGTATGTGTATGCGTGTGTGTATGCGTATGTATATATGTGTATGTATGTATGTGTGTGTATATATTTGTCGTTGGGTTCGGTCCAAAGCAGATACACCTGCAAGCACTCTAAATGGCTAAGATCCCTATAAAAAATAAAGGCCAGGCACAGTGGCTCCCACCTGTCATTCCTAGCACATCGGGAGGCTGAGGCAGGAGGATCCTTTGATCTCAGTTCTAGACCAGCCGGGGCAACATAGCGAAACCCTATCTCTACAAAAAATTAGCTGGGTGTGGTGGCATGCACTTGTAGTCCCAGCTGCTTGGGAGGCTGTGGTGGGAGCACTTGAGCCTGGGAGGTCGAGGCTGCAGTGAGCTGAGATCATGAGTGAAACCTTGTCTGAAAAAAAAAAAAATTAAAGCCTATTAATAACTAAATCTGTCGAAAAAGAAATTCTGGCTTTTGTTTGGTGAGTTCATGTCACGGTAGGAGGGAACCAAAGTTTGTGTGCATTTTAAGGGTGTGCTACTGACACGCACAGGGAGTGGATTTGCTAATGTGGTCTGAGCCACTGCCTCAGCTAACTGGACTGGGGCCTAGGAAAGCAGGCAGGACGGTGAAGGAAGCCAGGCCAGATGGTGCTCCGTCCACCCACCGGGAGAATCCACGGGGACGCACAATTTGAGCGGCATCATGTCTCATCTGGAATTTACTAGTGACTTCTTTCGCTTTTGAGATGGAGTCTTGCTCTGTTGCCCAGGATGGAGTGCAGTGGTGCGATCTCTGCTCACTGCAACCTCTGCCTTCCGGGTTTAATTCTCCTGCCTCAGCTTCCCAAGTAACTGAGATGTCAAGCATGTGCCACCCTGCCCAGCTAATTTTTGTATTTTTAGTGGAGATGAGGTTTCACCATGCTGGCCAGGCTGGTCCCAAGCTCCTGACATCAAGTGAGCCACTGTACCTGGCCTGATTTTTCACTTTAAAGTTGATTTTTGTTTCAGAAATTATACTGGAATGTAACTGCTAAGCTAGAAGTATGACTGACATAAAACATTTGATCGGAGAAACACTTTTCATGGGAGAATAATTGAACTGCACAGTTTTCAAACAGTAACAGGATAAATGTCTCAAAAATGTGTTAGCCAATAGTAACATTATCAGTGGGGACAATGAGACACGAAACAACTGGAGGTTAACAGGACAGCAGACAGATGCCTGGGACAGAGGGACAGCCCTCAGCGTGCTTTGGAAATGGGTACTACTTGCGGCTAAATGTTTGTGGAATGAGGATTACTTACACAGACAACTATAGATGCTTCTCGACTTCCAATGGGGTTATCTCGGGATTAACTCATCATGAGTCAAAAACGCACTGAACCCACCTAACTGAGCAAACACCACGGCTTAGCAGACTCAGGCGAGCCCACAGTTGAGCCTCCTTTACAACGCAGTGCTGAAAGTGGCATGGAGTTTATTGAACACCGTACAGAAAGACAATGGTTGTATGAGTACTCGGAGTAGTTTCTACTGAACGTGTACCACTATCAAAAACTTCTCAGTTGAATCATTAAACCGAGGCTATCTGCATTTAAGGACAGAACAGGACAGGTGTTTCGGTGTCTTAAGACTATCGCTGATTTCTAAGAATGTGGCTACTTTCAATCTCTTCTTCCGGTAACTGGAAATGAAACAAAATGAACTTGGCAGGTATAAAGCCGCCTGCTTACTTACACTGGAGCTCCCACTTCCGGCCTCGTGGGCACACAGCAGGCTCCAGGCTGGAGCTGCCCCACTGCCCCATTGGGTCCTGCTTTCCCACCCCAGGCAGCTTAAAGTCTGGAAAGAGAGGAGTCCTGCCTTTACCAGTGAGATGCCGAGCGCCGGGCCGGGTTGGCCAGGACCAGCTCAACAGTGTTTTATCCCTGACGTGGTTTAGAACTGCAAGTCGGTATATGACTGTCTGGAAGTTCTCTGGGACCACGTTCCTTTGTCACGTAGCCGGGACCCGTGCCCCGCCTCCATGGATTCTCGATGCCTGAGAATGGACATGGGGGTCGGCGTTTTAGCTGGTGGCCTTGGGGCCTAGTCAAACCTTTGTCCTGATGAGAGTCTGGGCTTGGCCTGCTGTGAAAATGACACGTGAACAGACACACCACACGTACACAGCAGCCTCGCTATTTTAAGAATGTACTTTATACAAAATAACCAGTTCATATGGAAATAAATCTACAGACCGCCAAGGATCAAAAAGCTTTTTAAGAAGTTCTTTTAAAAAATTATCCAACACACAATATTGAACTAGCTATTGAGGTAAGTGTCGCTCTCAGTGAAACAGGGAATCAGCAGACCACAACGAAATATACACAATACAAAAATAAATAGCATTCCCTTTCCAGTGCTGGCCAGAAGGTTCACACGGCTCCTGCTCTTGTAGCAGGAGCAGAGGCTCCGCACAGTGTGCACCAGGGCTGGAGGAGAGGGGAGGGGCCGCAAGGTTTCCTGAACGGGGGTCGGCATTTCAATAACTTCTGCAATATCCATTCCCCTGTTCCCACCCCACCCACCCCTTTTCAAAACACACATGCAGGACAATCAGCCGCTCATCCGGCGTTTCTATATGGGGGTTCAGACAGTCGTCTTGTGCAGGACGAGGGAGAAACTAGGTATAAAAAGGTCAACCCTTTCCTTGATGTGTACAGGTTAAAAAAAAAAAAACAGAACGGGGGCGGGGTACCCAAGCCCAGAACAGTCCTTCCACCTGACTGTCCAGCACAGGGCAAGGGCAATACGCAACCTGCAGGCAAAGCTTGTGTCCCTGACTTGAAAAACGGGAAGCAGCAACGTACCCCCAAACACTGCCGTCCAGAGGGAAAGCGCGAGGCGAGGCTCCCTACAGCTACAGGGCAGAGTCCCACCCACCCGCCGGAGGAGCCCAGCTTTTCCTCACGGCAAGTGGTAATCACATTCCTTGTGCCTGCGCAGTGATGAGCTTTACTGAAGCTACTGTCTGCTGTTCTCTGTGGAGACACCCCATCCTAGCAGCCCCAGCACTGAGCAGCACATGGCTCACTCACACAGAACCGATTTCCGCAGTGGGGGGTCTGTGAAGATTCTGCAGAGGGCGAACTCGGAAGGCAGCAACGCTGGAGAACCTGCCTCCTTCATTTCTATGAAACCCGAGGATCTCTGGCAGCAGGTCGGGGTTCTGACACTATCGACCTGTCCTTACCCTGTGATTGCAGGTTATGCCTTCCTGTGAAATTTCAAATTAGGTCTTAAGAACAGTGTAATATTTATAGATTTGAACTTTTTTTTTTGAGACAGAGTTTCGCTCTTGTTACCCAGGCCGGAGTACAATGGCACGATCTCGGCTCACCGCAACCTCCGCCTCCTGGGTTCAGGCAATTCTCCTGCCTCAGCTTCCTGAGTAGCTGGGATTACAGGCACGCACCACCATGCCCAGCTGATTTTTGTATTTTTTTTAGTAGAGACAGGGTTTCACCATGTTGACCAGGATGGTCTCGATCTCTTGACCTTGTGATCCACCCACCTCGGCCTCCCAAAGTGCTGGGATTACAGGCGTGAGCCACCGCGCCCGGCAGATTTGAACTTCCATTAAAAAAAAAAAAAAAAAAAAAAAAAAAAAATCGAACCAAGAGGTATGGACCATAAGCTTGTTTCTGACAGCTCTGGTGAGAGCAACACCAGGGTTTTGTGGGCCGGGGATGGCATTTAGCACACCCTTTGCCAGCTGTAGGAACCGACAAAAATAAGTTATAACTACACAGCAAATAAATGCCATGGGATAATGACACCAAATGCTCAGTGACAAACAGGACTTTGAGGGAAGAAGCTAGAGTAAATCGATGTTTAATGCTGAGGGTTGACTGAACTGCGGGGACAAGCTGCAGGTCTTAGGGTCTTTACTGAGCCTGATGAAGGGAGCACGATGAGGCTTTGCCTTCTGAGCATCTGTCCTGGGCTCACTGACAAGAGACAAACTGTTGACAAGCAGCTCTTGTGTATGAGCAGGTCAACTAGACAAACCTGGTGAGGGCAGGCGATGGAGAGGCAGAGAGGTGGGAGGGAGAGGTACGGTACCCAGCAAGAGGCCTGCAGGCTTTGCTCTTTTTATTCTCCACAGTCACCAACTTGAATACATTTCAGCCAACAGCTCCTGCTACTTTTTTTTTCTTTTGAGATGGAGTCTCACTCTGTCTCCCCGATCTCTGCTCACTGCAACCTCCACCTCTGGGATTCAAGCACTTCTCCTGCCTCAGCCTCCTGAGTAGCTGGGTTTACGGGGGTGCGCCATCACACTCGGCCAACTTTTTGTAATTTTAGTAGACATGGGGTTTCACCATGTTAGCCAGGACGATCTTGATCTCCTGGCCTCATGATCCGCCCACCTCAGCCTCCCAAAGAGCTGGGATTACAGGTGTGGGCCACTGTGCCTGGCTGCTCCTACCACCTTTAAATGAGGGGAAAAAGTCGCTGAATTAAAAATTACTTTTTAATTCTGAAGGGAAAACAGACAGACAGTCCTCCCAAGAAGCTCACATTTTCTTTCTCTTGGGCCTTGGGGACACACGTTTCTAACTCATTAACAACTCTAATAAAAGTGGGCCATGAGTGTTTTTGATAACATTTCCAATTCTGCATGGATCTCAGCCATCCCCGCCTCCTGGGGGCCACTGAGAGCCGGCCCACTGACAAGGTGACAGTGACCCACAGCATGAAATGTCCTTCTAGCTTGAGAGCAAGCCTTTTCAGGACACCTTACACACTGCTTTCTAATTATAACACATAACCATCATTTTCCTAACGGAGAAGATGGCAAATGCATTTGCATCTGCTTTAAGACATTGCATCTGCTTAAGACACTTGGAAAGAGAAGTGCTAGAGGAGGAGGAAAGGGCGAGAAAAAGATCCTGCCTGCGGACGGGTGGACTAGGGGTTCACAGCAGCTCACGAGCAGGTGGATTTCTGCAACACGGCAGCTCCAGCCAGCTCACAGATCTGCACTTCGAAGACCAGTAACAGCTCAGGACACACCCTGGACAACGGGTGAAGCTCTACCACAGTGCACAGACACACTCCCAACACAGGATGCAGGAAGGCTGACCACGCTGCTGCTGCTCTTGTTCACAGTGTTATAATTTAAAACAGTAGTTCTATTTCCTATTGCTCTTCTGGAATATTTCCCACCTAAAACCAAGAAGGGAGATTAAGGATAAAGGGATTTACCGACTCCTCCTGTACTGTTCACGGCACTGCTCTAGTAACAGGTGACTGGGGCGGGCACTGGGAGAGGGAGGAGACAGGGTGACCTGGGACAGGGTGCACGCAACCGCTCAAGGACCAGGAGTGCGGAAGGAAAGGGGGCACCAGCCCAACCGCTGCTCACAGCCACTCCCACCCAGGCCCCTGGGGTACTCAGGGGGCGACGCCCAGGGTGACAATGCTCCTGTGAGGGAGAAGTGAGGCCTCTGATCTGAACCAGCATTACCAGGAAAAGAGAAAGGCTGTTGGCGGCCAAATTCTCTGGGTCTAGCCCAGGTCTAGCCAGCAACGAACGAAATGCTTCTTTTCCGCCTCTGCTTCTGCACAAACCCAGACACTGAGGCTGTGATGCTCCACGTACGCGGATACCAGCTGAAGGGCAGACCCATCCACAAACCTTCTGTCCTCTTCACTCTCAACAGGTTATGCCAGTGGTAGGTTTCTAACAAGAATTAGGAGCCAGTGAAACCACAGGCTCTAAACTCAGTCCAGCTGCAAATACATCACATTTAAAAGTAAAACCTCTGTGAGAGAAAACCCGTATTTTTGTGCGTTATACCTAAGAGGCATCTGTGTTCCCTATTCAACTCTCGCATCTGCCTGAGCCCTGTGCAGCCCCACCAGGTTAAGCGCTTGCGTTCGGGCACAAACTTTCATCATCCGGGAACTGGTGTCTTGGGTTTTATCTCTTGGTATCATGGGTGTTTCTGATCAGTTTCCTTTCCACGGACAGCGTATGTTTAGCAAACTGTAAACACAACAGTTCCATGTTTCACTAGGAATCCTGGAATTGGAGGGCAAACTACTGGCTCTGCCCACAGCTGAATTTATAAGAAACTAGGGCAGATTAACATTTCATAGAGGCTCTTCTACTGTCCCAAAAGCATGCTGAAAAATATGCTGTTTTTACAAAGACCTGTAATTTCAGTATTTTCCTTAGTTTTTCTTTCATGGGATATTCAAAAATTTAAAACAGGGTCCTAACTTTGGTGACCTCTCAGCTAAAATAAAATACAGAATGCTAACGAGGGAGAATCCAGTGTAATTCAATCCTAAAACTGTGATAAAGTAACTTAATACTGTACGATGGTTTCCTATCACAGATAAAACAAATAATTCCAAGAACTTCTTCTGGATAGCTATTGTAAATCACCATGACTGATTTTACTATGATTCACTTAAAATGAATAAAAACTATATATACTGAAATATTCCTAAATTCAAACTGTAAATCTATAGAATACATTTTTCCTATTCAAACCTGTGCAATTCTTTATTGATACTAAAATACACAAACCTGAGTACTCACTTCCACAAAATGTGATTCGTGCCAGAAAGCTGTGTGGGGTGCCTTCCAGATTCACAGGCCCGACAGGGAGGTCTGCGATGGGCATGGCTCATCTTCTAAGACATGAAACACTGCAGCCATCCCAATTCCTGATGGTGGTTTACGACTATTCGGTAGGGCTGGTGGCAAAACCAGGAAGGGACACCACTTTCTCACATCCAGGATTTGGGCCACCAGACTCAGCCAGCAGCCCATCTCCTGGGCTGAAGCTTCTAGTACTCCCGAGAGCACTCTGCCTCCAACGGAGACAGACACCAGATGGTGAGGGGACAGGTGTTCCCTCTCAGGCTGACTGGAAGGACGGCCTTTAGTTATTCTGAAGCCTGGCTGACTAGCAAGGAAACACAGTGACGTATGACAAGATCAAACCTTTCCTACCCTCACCTCCAGCTCCCAAAAGTATTCAGTGTGATGCGATTGTAAACAGATAAAGATCACTCCAGTGCTGTGTACCCACCAGTTAGGACTCCCATTTCTTCCGCATTCCCACCCACCCTTCCCACTTTATGTACAATACATTCACCAACAACAAAAATTATTTTAAAAGGCAACATGAAAATTCTGTAAACTGGACCCAGCTCCAAAACCATTAATACTACGAGTAGTCCCTTCCCCAAATATATACCTGAGTTTAGCTGCTCATCAAAGTTTAAAAGCACCACTCCTTTCTTGAGTATACCCCACCCCCAAGTTTAAAGTGATTTTCCCTGAAAAGTGTCTCAGGATTTGGAAAAGTCATCATTAACCCCACGTCCATTCGTTCTGCCTAACTGTCTACAGCAGCCGTGCGAGAGATCCCTGGCCAAGGACCTTTGCGAGCTGTGTGTCAGTCATCTAAGGAGTGTCCTTTGAGGGCCCATGACTGGCTCCAGCTCAAGGATGGCACAGGTGGGTCACGCGAAGGGGTAGAGCAGGTGATGGGAGCAGAGCTGGCGGGGCCCTCCCCAGTTCTCTGCCTTCCAGTCTTCATGTGCAGCTTTCCATTGCTTGGGGCTCCTTTCCTCCTCGGACTAGCTCTGAAAGAAACAAAGACTTTTTTTTTTTTTTTGACAGTCTCGGTCGTTAGGCACCAGGCTGCAGTGCAGTGGTGCAATCTCAGCTCACTGCAACCTCCGCCTCCCAGGTTCAAGCAATTCTCCTGCCTCAGCCTCCTGAGTAGCTGGGACTACAGGTGTATGCGCCACCACACCCAGCTAATTTTTGTATTTTTAGTAGAGACAGGGTTTCACCGTGTTGGCCAGGATGGTCTCGATCTCTTGACCTTGTGACCCGCCCACCTCGGCCTCCCAAAGTGCTGGGATTACAGGCGTGAGCCACCGAGCCCGGCCACAAAGACATTTTAAACAAAAATAAAATTGTTTTAATTGTTAAAAAACAAAACAAAACAAAAAAATGTAAGTAAGCCAGAGAGTATCCATGCTCCTCATCTGTGAAAAAGGCTTGATTCTGTTTCATGAGCTAGTTTCCCTCCGGAGGGCAGGTTCTAGAGTCCTCGACCTCCCACTGCAGGTCCCAGCCCCACTGCTTAACAGCAGGACTTGCACATTGGGAAATGCTCATGACACAGCCAATGACAACTGCTTTGTGGGGGTCAAGGGGAAGGGGACGGGAGAGCCGCAGGCCCGGGGCCGGGGCGAGCAGCAGCACTGAGGCAGCTACCGGCGCTCCAAAACGCCGACTAGGCTCTCTCCCGTGAGAAAGGCAGGAAGCGTAAAGCAGACAGGGGATGAAGACAGAAGAAATGCTGGCAGATGGTGTGGAAAAAATAAGGGGTAAATACTCCCCAAACAGGAATACATTCCATAGAACAATGGGAAAAAGACAGGTGAGAAGTGTCTCCTTCCCCCGTGCCAAGGAAGCACTTCCCAGGAAAAGTTCCTGCATCGCGGGATACCTTAAAACACCTTTCCACAACAGCAAGGATGTCACACGCTTCCTTCTTACCACCTGGAGGAAGGAGAGCAGCTCCAAGTTTGGTGATTCTTACCTGATTTGGGGGAAGCGCTGGAGGCTTGTGAGGCGGCAGCTCCTCCCGCGGTGCTGCCACTGCGGGGGTCTTTGGGAACGAGGCTTGTGACTGGACCGGGTGCGTCTGCATTCTACAGCCAAGAGAAGGAAGCCACAAAGAATTACCGAAGACATGTTAGTGACACAAGAAACAGGACACTGTAGTCCGAGGGCACTGCCTTCATCACCCAGGTGATCAGGCCTGGAATCGACACTGGAACAACTCGACACTCTGTACCTCCTGGTGCAAAACGCGGCACGCACACCACCTATGTATATTCCTGACCAAAGTATTTAATCTGGTTTTTTTGTTCTTTGAGACAGAGTTTCGCTCCTGCTACCCAGGCTAGAGTGCAATGGCGCGATCTCGGCTCACCACAACCTCTGCCTCCTGGGTTCAGGCAATTCTCCTGCCTCAGCCTCCTGAGTAGCTGGGACCACAGGCGTGTGCCACCATGCCCAGCTAATTTTTTGTATCTTTAGTAGAGACGGGGTTTCACCATGTTGACCAGGATGGTCTCGATCTCTTGACCTCGTGATCCACCTGCCTCGGCCTCCCAAAGTGCTGGGATTACAGGCGTGAGCCACCACACCTGGCCTCTGTTTTTTTTTTTTTCTTTTAGAGACAGGGTCTTGCTCTGTCACCCTGCTAAGAGTGTCGTGGCAGAATCATGGTGTACTGCAGCCTCAATCTTCCAGGCTCCAGTGATCCTCCCGCCTCACCCTCCTGAGTAGCTGGAACTCCAGGGCTATGCGACCAAGCCTGGTCTCGAGCAATCTTCCTGCCTCAGCCTCCCAAAGTGCTGGGATTGTAGGTATGAACCACCACACCTGGCACAAGTGCTTCATCTCAACACAAGGAGACGGAGATAAATCTAGAGTCTGGAACATTCTCCAGGATAACTGGCCTGGACTGTTTGGAAGACAGAGCAGATAGGACGACTATGAATTAAGAGACGATACAGACACAGCAGCCAAATGCAAACACAGCAGCCTCTACTGGATCTTTTATCAGAGAAAAAAAAATCAAAATAAAACACAAAGAAATGGCTCTAGAAGACACTCCAGGCTGGGCTGGCAGCACATGCCTGTAATCCAGCACTCCGGGACGGAGGCCAAAGTGCGCACATCACCTGAGGTCAGGTGTTTGAGACCAGCCTGACCAAGATGGTGAAATCCCATTTCTACTAAATACACAATATTGGCCACGTGTGGTGGCACATGCCTGCAATCCCAGCTACTCAGGAGGCTGAGGCAGGAGAATCGCTTGAACCTGGGAGGCAGAGGTTGCAGAGAGCTGGGATCGCGCCATTGCGCTCTAGCCTGGGCGACAAGAGCAAAACTCCATCTCAAAAAAAAAAAAAAAAAAAAAAAAAAAAAAAAAAAAAAAGGCTGGGTGCGGTGGCTCACGCCTGTAATCTCAGCACCTTAGGAGGATCACGAGATCAAGAGATCGAGACCATCCTGGCCCACATGGTGAAACCTTGTCTCTAATAAAAATAAAAAAATTAGCTGAGCATGGTGATGTGCACCTGTATTCCCAGCTACTCAGGAAGCTGAGGCAGAAGAATCACTCAAACCAGGAGGCGGAGGTTGCAATGAGCCCAGACTGTGCCACTGCACTCCGGCCTGGTGACAAAGCGAGACTCCATCTCAGAAAATAAGAAAAAAGAAAAATTCTTTTAGATATTGTTATTTGCCTTGAGTGTGGTAATCATTTTGAAGGAATGTCCATTCTTAGAAGATGCATGCTCAAGTATTGAGGGGTTGAGCTTTACAACTGAGTGTCCAACAGCTTAGGAAAAACGGCAAAGAAAAGAAAACAGGTATTTAGAGACATATAAAGCACATGTAACACAAAAATGACCGAGGGGGCACAGCAGTAAGACGACAGGATGGCACTGAGGGGCACACCGGTTTTTATGCCGAATGGTATTCGTTTCATATTTATATGAAAGTTACAAATATTAATTATTATAATTAATAACTCCATCTAACCACCTGTGGTATACATAGATTTGAAAACTTCCAAGAAATAGGGGAGGGACAGCGGGGGTGGGGAGTTGGGGAGGGACAGCATGGAGTGAAAAGCCAGATATAGGTGAAGGGGAGGGAGGCAGCAAATCACACTGCCACATGTGTACCTATGCAACTATCTTGCATGTTCTTCACATGTACCCCAAAACCTAAAATGCAATTAAAAAAAAAGAAAACTTCCTAAATGGCAGATCACCTAACTGGATCTCGAAAACATCACTGCACAATCACGTGTGAAAGAAGTCTCATGGGGACTTATTTGCATTCTGGATAAAACTGGTTTTCTTACTCAATGATATAGTAAGAAATGAGAGTTATGTAGTAAACCTTTTTTCTTCTTTTGAGACAGAGTCTCGCTCTTGTTGCCCAGGCTGGAGTGCAATGGCGCGATCTTGGCTCTCAAGTGATTCTCCTGCCTCAGCCTCCCAAGTAGCTGGGACTACAGGCGCGCACCACCACACCCAGCTAATTTTTGTATTTTTAGTACAGATGGTGCTTCACCATGTTGCCCAGGATGGTCCTGATCTCTTGATCTTCTGTTCCTCCCGCCTTGGCCTCCCAAAGTGCTGGGATTACAGGTGTGCGCCACTGCGCCTGGCCATAAAACTTCAATGACATGTGATCTCTTCTACTCCTGGATAGACGTTTTCTTTATTTTTTTACCTTCGTCAGAGCGTCCGCACACGGCAGCAGTGTTGACACAGATTTGCTTACAGCTCTCAAACTGTGGTTACTAAGTTTCCAGTATCATGTAAAGATTAGCTGGGCATGGCAGCAGGCACCTGTAATCCCAACTACTTGGGAGGATGAGGCAGGAGAGTCGCTTGATCCTGGGAGGCGGAGACTGCAGTGAGCAGAGATCACACCACTGCATTCCAGCCTGGGCCAAAGAGCGGAGATTTAATCTCAATAAAATAAAATAAAATAAAAAAGCTGGCTGGGCGTGGTGGCTCACACCCGTAATCCCAGCATTTTGGGAGGCTGAGGGGGGTGGATCACCTGAGGTCAGGAGTTTGAGGCCAGCCTGGCCAATATGGTGAAACCCCGTCTCTACTAAAAAATACAAGAATTAGCTGGGAGCGGTGGTGGGCACCTGTAATCCCAACCACTTGGGAGGCTGAGGGAGGACAATAGTCTGAACCTAGGAGGCAGAGGTTGCAGTGAGCCGAGATCGCACCATTGCACTCCAGGGAGACGCATCTCAAAAAGTTTACAGTATCAAAATCTAACTCAGTCATGTAAATGCCAATTCATTTTCATGAGGGGGAAAACGTTCAAGGATAACGCTGGGCTCTACATCTAGTGTCTTTCTAGCGAGCATGCAACACCAGTAATTCACATACGCTTCTCATTCCCAGATCATCAACTACTGTCTTCATCTCTAAGGCCATTTTTCTGTTTAAACATCCAGGCTGGCTGTGGTGACTCACGCCTGTCATCTCAGCACTTTGGGAGGCTGAGGCAGGAGGATGAATCGTACTCAGGAGATTGAGACCAGCCTGGGTAACATGGTGAAACCCTACCTCTACCAAAAAAAAAAAAAAAAAAAAAAAAGAGCCGGGCATGGTGGCATGTGCCTGTAGTCCCAGTAATTTAAAAGACTGATGCAGGAGGCTCCCCGAGCCCGGGAGGTCGATGCTGCAGTGACCCACGATGGCACCACTGCCCTCCAGCCTGGGTGACACAGCGAGACTCTCTCTCAAAAATAAAGAACCACCACCACCATCTGTTCTTCCTTCGCAGGGAAAAGCCCGAATGCAATCTTACCCTGACGGTCTGTACGTTTCCTGGAAAGGTCCCCTTATTCCACTTCTAGTGCCAATTTGTTCCATCATCACAGCTTGAAAGTGACCCAGGCCCTCTTCCTGGCAGCGATAGATGGGGCCCTCCTGAGAGAGCCCGTTGGGCTGGGGGGCCCCTGGGTGGTGAGGTGGGTGAGCAGCCATGGGGGAAGAGTAAGCGCTGGGCTGAAAGTGACTGGCCGGCCGCTGAGGCGTATAGGGAGGCCCCGTCTGCAGCATCACGCCGTGGCTGGGAAATGCAGATGAAGCAAAGCCCATTCCCGCACTCAGAGACGGAGGAGGAGGTCCGTAGAGATACTCGCCGGCTGGTAGCGAGCTCTGCCGCTTGGTGGCTGCGTTGTGGTTGTCCAAGTCTAAAAATTCTTTGGGACTCTCTGGCCTCTCCATAGATTCATCCAGCTTCTCTTCCTCTGGACCAGGATTCTGCCCGTCATTCGGGACTTCAGCAGCCACAGGATCCATATGGGCTGGAGCAGTTAAGGCAGCATTCAGTGTCTCACAGCCTTGCAGACTGGCCATGGCATTCTTGTCGGAGAAGAGGGACCTCGGTGGGGGAGGCTGACTGGCGGGGGGTCCGCTCGGGCTTCCCTGGGGATGGAGAGGTCTCTGCCAGTCAGAAAAGCCCTGTGGACACGGATAGTAAGGAGTTCGCTGATAGTGGTGGTAGGAAGGCTGTGGTGGTGGGTGGTAGGAATACCTCATTCCTTGTGGGGGGCGATACCGGGGAAAGCCTCCAGTATGTGGGTGGCTGGACTGAAAGCCCCTTGGGGGGAAATGTTGGGGATGGGATGCTGAGGACTTCCCTCCCATCACGGGGCCCACACCCTGCAGGCCTGGACTGATGTGGTAATGAGCAGCTGAATTCGGGTACTCCAGCCCAGGCATGTACAGTGGGGAGAACTGGCTCACAGTGCCTCCCATCAAGCTGGGATCTGTGCTGGGCGGTGTCGCTGTGTTCTGTCTTGGGCACGGCACGGTTTCCTGCAACGTTCTGCCTCTGGGGCACAGCGGCTTTTCGGAACCACTGTTTCCAAGGCCCTTCCCCTCTGATCCACAGGGCGATGCTTCCCCAGTGACTCCGTTTTCAGGTAGAGTGCCCCTGTCTGCCACCGCGGAGAGGTCTCCCATGCACCCTTGGGTGACTGGGCTGGGGTAGCTGCTATCCGAGGGCCAGGGATTCTTGCCCTTGGTTGCTTGACAGCTGTCTGCAGATTCGGAGGAGTTGGCTTTGAGCTCTGGGCCTGACGTTTCCCCCCTCTCTTGGGGTGAGCTCTGCCTGGTGCGGTCAGTCTGCAGGGGAGGCCTGGGGTGAGGTAGTTGTTTGAGGTATACCCCCTCGGAAGTACCAACACTTGCTGGTTTCTCTTCCAGGCCAGGCAATGGCTCTGCTGGAAAAAAAAAAAAAAAGAAAAGAAAAAATAATTCAGTAGCTGAAATGGCAAGTAAATGTAAAGAACATGACAGACTCAGATGGAGGTGGACGTGAGGTGATTCAAGTGTCAGCAGGAAGGTGCTGGAGTCCTTGAAAGGACTCAAGATCCTCGTCCTTTCACCCCTTCCACGGACACAAAAGTAAAACCTAGCGCCTCTCCAGCCACTCTTAGAGTGTGCCGGAGAATGGAAATGTCCCTGCCGCCCTAACCTTGGACTGCCTAGTTAGTAAGAAGCTGAGAGAGGGCTTGTGGCTCATGGTGCACGTGAGGCACACCGGGGGGATGGCTGTCATCAGAATCGCTGGGCATGCTGGGAAGCTTTAAAATTCCACGCAGCGAGAAAGACCAGCTCCACAGGAGGAGGGACTTCTCCCTCTCACTGTCCTCTCTGACTCCAGACGCACAGACTCAATCACTGGTGAATCAGTACATTCATTCTGTCTGCATGTCTTCAAGATGCCTACTAAACAAAACTCAAAAGGCATCTTTAACATACTATGGATAAGCCCAATCGAATGAGTTTATCGGACTCCTATGCCCGGTCACAACGTCGGAATTCTTTACATTACTGTTCAACCCACAAACATGATCTTAACTAAGACCATGTACAATAGTGTGTAAGTATGTGTATATATCTGTATCAAATAGGCCATTTTTTTTTTGAGGCAGGATCTCGCTCTGATGCCCAGGCTGGGGTGCAGTGGCACGATCTCAGCTCACTGCAACCACTGCCTCCCGGGTTCAAGTGATTCTCCTGCCTCAGCCTCCCAAGTAGCTGGGATTACAGGCATGCGCCACCACACCCAGCTACTTTTTGTATTTTTAGTAGAGATGAGGTTTCACCTTATTAGCCAGGCTGGACTCCAACTCAGATCAGCCTCAGGTGATCTGCCCACCTTGGCCTCCCAAAGTGCTGAGATTACAGGTGTGAGCCACTGCCCGGCCAAAATAATCTATTTATAATCTTTCTAAGAGGACAGCAGTCGTCCAGGTGTGATCAAATTACAATCCTTGTAACAGATCTGAAGGACAAGGTTAAAGATTCTTAAGTTTTTTTTTTCTTCTTGAGACAGAGTTTCGCCCTTGTTCCCCAGGCTGGAGTGCAATGGCACGATCTCGGCTCACTGCAACCTCTGCCTCCTGGGTTCAGGCAATTCTCCTGCCTCAGCCTCCCGAGTAGCTGGGACTACAGGCATGCGTCACTATGCCCAGCTAATTTTTGTATTTTTAGTAGAGACGGGGTTTCACCTTGTTGACCAGGATGGTCTCGATCTCTTGACCTCGTGATCCACCTGCCTCGGCCTCCCAAAGTGCTGGGATTATAGGCGTGAGCCACTGCGCCCAGCCAGATTCTTAAGTTTTTAAGAGTCATTATGATAGCTCAGGCCACCTGAAGCAGGCCTTAAAAGTCATGGTACAAATTACACAACGAAAATGAAAAACCACACTTTTCATTATTCAGTCAACATTAAACTTAGCAACTAGACTTATCCAAGACTTAACTAAATAGGATTCTTGTAAAGTTTTGAATTCCAGAAATTATTTGAAATCAGGATTAGAAAATTCTGCTAGAGGTAGTATTAACAAAGTAGGTCTTTCCAGAAAAGAAACACTAACATTTTTCCCCTAACAAATTTTTCTCTTTCTTTTTTTCCCCCCTTTTAAATTATTTATTTATTTATTTATTTGAGACGGAGTTTCACTCTTGTTACCCAGGCTGGAGTGCAATGGCGGGATCTCAGCTCACTACAACCTCCGCCTCCTGGGTTCAGGCAATTCTCCTGCCTCAGCCTCCTGAGTAGCTGGGATTACAGGCACGCACCACCGTGCCCAGCTAATTTTTTGTATTTTTAGTAGAGACGGGGTTTCACCATGTTGACCAGGATGGTCTTGATCTCTTGACCTCATGATCCACCCCCCTTGGCCTCCCAAAGTGCTGGAATTACAGGCGTGAGCTACTGCACCCGGCTTTTCTTTCTTTTTTTTTTTTAAAGAGTCAGAGTTTCAACTTTGTTGCCCAGGCTGGAGTGCCAGTGGCGCAATCTTGGCTCACTGCAACCTCTGCCTCCCAGGTTCAAGAGATTCTCCTCATTCAGCCTACTGAGTAGCTGGGACTACAGATGCACACCACCACACACAGCTAACTTTTGTATTTTTAGTAGAGATGAGATTTCATCATTCTTGGCCAGGCTGGTCTTGAACTCTTGACCTCCTGATCTGCCTGCCTCAGCCTCCCAGAGAACTGAGATTACATGCGTGATCCACCACGTCTGGCCAGGAATCTATTACCTTTAAGTCCAAGTGTCTCCATTTTCCTGCCAGGTACTGAAGAAAATTACATGCATGCTAGATATCTATCCTTGAAATAAGCATTAATTGCAAAGTCTTTTCCCCCCCCATTTTCTCCCTTAATGTTTACTCCTCTTAAACGGCATTTCTAAGAAACTGCTGCAAAACTTACTAGATCTCAGTATGGGTTATTGCTATTTTTGAGATAAAGTCTCACGCTGTCTCCTGGGCTGGAGTGCAGTTATCTTGGCTCAGTGCAACCTCTGCCTCCCAGGTTCAAGTGATTCTCCTTCTTCAGCCTTCCAAGTAGCTGGGATTACAGGCGCCTGCCACCATGCCCAGCTAATTTTTGTATTTTTATTAGAGACTGGGTTTCGCCATGTCAGTCAGGCTGGTCTTGAACTCCTGACCTCAGGTGATCTGCCCACCTGGGCTCCCCAGAGATGGGATTACAGGTGTGAGCCACCATGACTGGCGAATATTTTCATTTAGCAGAGACGGTCTTACTCTGTTGTCCAGGCTGGTTTTCAACTCCTGAGCGCAAGTGACCCACTGGCCTTGGCCTCCCAAACTTCTGGGATTACAGGTGTGAGCCACCAAAAGTGCACCCAGCTGACAGTACTTTTTTAGAAGAGGTATGATGATGTAGTGAGTGGATCACAGATGCGGGATCTAGTCTGTCTGGGCCCAAATCTCAGCTCTGCTTCTTACCAGCTGGGTGAGAGCAAATAATCTAACATTTCCATGACTTGGATTTTCCATCTGTAAAAGGAAGGATAATAACAGCAGCTACCTCAAGGCTTGTCCTGAGAATAAATGAGTTAAGGTACAAAAGTTTCAGGAAGGCAGGACACGGTGGCTTACACCGGTAATCCTAGCACTTTGGGAGGCCAAGGTGGGCAGATCACCTGAGGTCAGAAGTTCAAGACCAGCCTGGCTAACATGGTGAAACCTTGTCTCTACTAAAAATACAAAAATTAGCTGGGTGTGGTGGCGCGCACCTGTAATCCCAGCTACTCAGAAGGCTGAGGCAGGAGAATCGCTTGAACGCAGGGTGCAGAGGTTGCAGTGAGCCGAGATTATGCCACTGCACTCCAGCCCGGGCAAGAGTGAGACTCTGTCTTAAAGAAAAAAAACAAAGTCTCAGGAAGAGTGCCTGGCACAGCTAGCGTCCACCTGTGCAGCAGTCAAGATTGTGACCAGGAATGCTCTGAGATCTGTAGATCAAGAGGACAGTGACCCAAACATGAGAGGTTCAAGAGGGGCTGGATACCAGCTCACGCTTGGCTTGATATGCTGTGTAAAAAGATTTCTCATGAAACAGGAGCTTACAGAGCCCCAATGACAGGGTGTATTACCTTGGTCATTCTCAGGCTCTTGTGTTTCACTGTTCTCCGGTGCCCTCCCAGGGTTGCCCAGGGCAGGCTTGGGGGCTGATACACTGACCGACACTGAGTGGGCTACCTGTGGAAAAGGGCCAGGTAAACGGGGAGGTACGGGCTGGTGGGGGTGGTAAGGCACACCTGGCGGGCAGACGCGGGAGGAGAGCTGCTGCATGGCGATCATTTCTGGGCTGTCCATCATGGAGTCCCCTCCCTGCACCCCCCGCAGAGCCTGGGTGGCCGCTCCAAACAGAGAACTGGGTGCTGGCACTGGAGGTGGCTGTAGCCGATGTCCAGCAGACTTGCAGGGTGGCTGCATGTACCCTGAGGAAGGAACTCCATGAGGTAGGAAGCCTGATTGTTCAGTCCACTGGTTGGCGGGGACAGGTGGTCTCATGACTCGGGAATCCATCATGTGACCGAGACTTCGAGGCTGGTGAGAAGGTCCAGGCCCCAGGTGGGGCTTCTCCTCTGGGCCCAAGGGTCCTGGGTTTGTAGCACCATGGTTCCCATTCCAGACGGCAGAGTGTACTCGATTCAGGTACTTGTACGATCGATACATGTGGCTGGGAGGAATTTCTGAGCTTTCAGGGAAGTTTGGCGGCCGGGCTGGAGCCCCCCCGTGCCTGGGAGGAATGAATCCTGGCTGGAACTGAGCTGGAGCATACATGCTTCCATCCTGACTCGGGCCACTTATCTGGCTGAGCTGCAAGGATCCAGGGTGTGGGCCCATGCTAGAGAGGCGCGTCAGCCCCCCACATATTTGCTTGTCTTCAGGTGTGCCCAGCCTGGGTCCTCGGTGGCTGTTAATTCCCACTGGAGCCTGGCAACAAGAAAAGGCAGCACAGTTAACCAGACTCAGAGTAAGGCAGGCTTTGGGATGTGCTTCTCTATGGGAACAGACTCTTCAGGGAAGTAGACAACCAGCGACATTTAGCCTGGAAAGAGACCTTTTCCTCTGAAATGTAGCTGTGGGACCCCCTGCGCCTGCGCCTGCTGAGTAGGGTGCTCACCTGCATGGGGAAAGGCTGGTGCTGCTGCACAGGTTCCCCGGGGTGCGGCTCTGGGACTCCAGAGGAGCCGTACAAGGGGGCAGCATCTGATCCTCGCAGAGGGCCAAATGTCCCTGGCACCGCTGGCCTCTGCAGTACGTTTAGCACAGCAAGAAGGGGGAAAAGGAAAGATGGACTTTAGGTTGACAACGAGGGTTTTCCTGAAAACGAAGATCCTACTAAAATAAAAGAGACGACTAGACCTCAGATGGAGACGCAAAGACTGAATACGCGCTCACCCACACCAGGGCTCGCCTGTGATACAACAGACTAGACTTCGGATAAAGACGCGGAGACTGAACACGCGCTCACCCACACCAGGGCCCACCTGTGATACAACAGACTAGACCTCGGATGGAGACGCGGAGACTGAACACGCGCTCACCCACACCAGGGCCCACCTGTGACAAAACAGACTAGACCTCAGATAAAGACGCGGAGACTGAACACGCGCTCACCCACACCAGGGCCCACCTGTGATACAACAGACTAGACCTCGGATGGAGACGCGGAGACTGAACACGCGCTCACCCACACCAGGGCCCACCTGTGATACAACAGACTAGACCTCGGATGGAGACGCGGAGACTGAACACGCGCTCACCCACACCAGGGCCCACCTGTGACAAAACAGACTAGACCTCAGATAAAGACGCGGAGACTGAACACGCGCTCACCCACACCAGGGCCCACCTGTGACAAAACAGACTAGACCTCAGATAAAGATGCGGAGACTGAACACGAGCTCACCCACACCAGGGCCCACCTGTGACAAAACAGACTAGACCTCAGATAAAGATGCGGAGACTGAACACGCGCTCACCCACACCAGGGCCCACCTGTGATACAACAGACTAGACCTCGGATGGAGACGCGGAGACTGAACACGCGCTCACCCACACCAGGGCCCACCTGTGATACAACAGACTAGACCTCGGATGGAGACGCGGAGACTGAACACGCGCTCACCCACACCAGGGCCCACCTGTGATACAACAGACTAGACCTCGGATGGAGACGCAGAGACTGAACACGCGCTCACCCACACCAGGGCCCACCTGTGACAAAACAGACTAGACCTCAGATAAAGATGCGGAGACTGAACACGCGCTCACCCACACCAGGGCCCACCTGTGATACAACAGACTAGACCTCGGATGGAGACGCGGAGACTGAACACGCGCTCACCCACACCAGGGCCCACCTGTGATACAACAGACTAGACCTCCGATTGAGACGCGGAGACTGAACACGCGCTCACCCACACCAGGGCCCACCTGTGACAAAACAGACTAGACCTCAGATAAAGATGCGGAGACTGAACACGCGCTCACCCACACCAGGGCCCACCTGTGATACAACAGACTAGACCTCGGATGGAGACGCGGAGACTGAACACGCGCTCACCCACACCAGGGCCCACCTGTGATACAACAGACTATACCTCGGATGGAGACGCAGAGACTGAACACGCGCTCACCCACACCAGGGCCCACCTGTGACAAAACAGACTAGACCTCAGATAAAGACGCGGAGACTGAACACGCGCTCACCCACACCAGGGCCCACCTGTGACAAAACAGACTAGACCTCAGATAAAGATGCGGAGACTGAACACGCGCTCACCCACACCAGGGCCCACCTGTGACAAAACAGACTAGACCTCAGATAAAGATGCGGAGACTGAACACGCGCTCACCCACACCAGGGCCCACCTGTGACAAAACAGACTAGACCTCAGATAAAGATGCGGAGACTGAACACGCGCTCACCCACACCAGGGCCCACCTGTGACAAAACAGACTAGACCTCGGATGGAGACGCGGAGACTGAACACGCGCTCACCCACACCAGGGCCCACCTGTGATACAACAGACTAGACCTCGGATGGAGACGCGGAGACTGAACACGTGCTCACCCAAACCAGGGCTCACCTGTGAGCCCAAAGCAACCTCCTGCTCCAGGAGACAGATTAAATCAGCATTTCTCAACCTCTTTTTTATTTCTCCTCCACCCAAGGATCCATTTTAGCCATTTCTCAGCCGCCTGCTACCACGAAATCTTGATGCTGCAGATATACTGTATGTTTATGTACTATACCTGTGCTTTATACAAAAGATACTTTTTTTTTTTTTTTTAAGACGAGGTTTCACTATGTTGGTCAGGGTGGTCTCGAACTCCTGACCTCAAGAGATTCACCTGCCTTGGCCTCCCAAGTGCTGGGATTACAGGTGTGAGCCACCACGCCTGGCTAGATTACTTTTTTTTGGAGATAGTTTCGCTCTGTCACCTAGGCTGGTGTGCAGTGGCATGATCTCCGCTCACAGTAACCTCTGCCTCCTGGGTTCAAGCAATCCTCCTGCCTTAGCCTCCTGAGCAGCTGTGCCTCCAGGCATGCACCACCACACCTGGCTGATTTTTGTATTTTTAGTAGAGGCGGGGTTTCACCATGTTAGCCAGGCTGGTCTTGAATTCCTGACCTCATGTTCCACCTATCTCCGTCTCCCAAAGTGCTGGCATTACAGGCGTAAGCCACCATGCCTGGCCAGATTATGTATTTTTAAATGCCATTTTTGTGCCCACATTGAGAATACATATTTCAAATGATTGAGGAAAAAGGAGGATTTATAATAAAGGGCTTGGCACAGTGGCTCATGCCTATCGTCCCAGTACTTTGGGAGGCTGAGGCAGGAGGATTGCTTGAGGTCAGGAATTTGAGGTCAGCCTAGACAACATAGCAACACCTTATCTCTACTAGAAAGTAAACAAAAATGAAGTAAAATGAAGGACTCTTGGGGGAATAGATGTCACCCATACACAGAAATACTGTGTAGAAAGTACTAACTGAATGACCTTTACATCCCTATGAACTCACAAACCAGGAGAGACCACAACGGCCTCCACTCTATTCCTTACCAACTGGTTTAAAAAGGGTGCTTGGCTGGGCGTTCCGCCACAGTGCAGGGGATGAGAAAAGCCTCGGCCATTGGAAGTGCCCGCCTCCCGTGGGGGCTGTGTGGAGCTGCTGCTCTGACCGTCCCCAGAAGAGGGGGCTCGGCGTGTGGGGGGCAAAGACTTCCCTCCATTCTCCACGGGCTGCTGTTTCCTGCTGGGCCCTTCGGGATCCCTGGAGCGGGTCCAAACATGGCTGCCACTACTTCGCCCAGCCCGACTCCGTCTCTTCTCCCGCTTTTCATCCTCTCGAATCCAAAATTCTTCATCTGTATCTCCATCTTCACCAGGAAAATGCTTCATCATTGCCCGATGGAAACACCGTTCTAAATTATCAGACATCTTGGTATACTCTACAGGAAGACAGGAGGATTGGTTTCTAGGTATAGGTTATAGAAACTGACCTATAGAGGCCACAAAAGACAATTCTACTAAAACGTAAAAGATGCAACCTGGGTCAACTATGAGTTTAATTCACCTTTGGGGCACGTTACATTGCAGAGCTATGGATGCAAGATGAAGACGACATGGCTCCTCTCTGTGAGACGCCCAAGGTGGCATGCTTGGGACAGGGGCTGGAGGACTATTAAACCAAGCCAGGCTGAGCACGGTAACTTACGCCTGTAATCCCAGCACTTGGGGAAGCCAAGGCAGGAGGATCAATTTGAGCCCAGGAGTTCTAAGACCAGACTGGGCAACAAAGCGAGACCCGTCCCTACCAAAAACACAATAGCCAGGTGCGGTGGCACATTCCCACAGTCCCAGCTGCTATGGGACCAAGGCAGGAGGATCCCTTGAGTCTAAGAATTGGAGGTTGCAGTGAGCCATGTCTGTGCTACTGCACTCCAGCTTGGGTGACAGGGTGAGATCCCATCTCAAAATAACAACAACCAAAAAGACAAAACAAAACAAAACAAAAAAGCCAGTAAAAATTTAATTCTTCAAGGTTAAACGGCAGAAATACAAAATAAAAAAATTGTGGAATCTGCTGTTTTTAAGTAGGGCATTCTGAGTTAATGCATAAATGACCCAAAGTAAAAAGAACCATTTCTACTTCACTATTAGAGATCCACTTCAGTAGCTTCTCCAGATGACTGAAGAATCGGCTCTATCTAGGGGCAGTCCTGTCAGTGGTTAAAGAGGCATGCACAGTATTATCCAGACGCAGCCTGGTCTCTAGGATGAGCCAGTTAGCTGCCAGCTGCATTCTCTTGTCCTGTGGGGCAGGATAGTCTCTGGCAAACACTGTGTAAGTGAGCCAGGCGCGGTGGCTCACACTTGTAATCCTGACACTTTGGGAGGCCGAGGTGGCCATATCACCTGAGGTCAAGAGTTCGAGACCAGCCTGGCCAACATGGTAAAACCCCGTCTCTACTAAAAACACAAAAATTAGCCAGATGTGGTGGTGGGCGCCAGCTATTCGGGAGGCTGAGGCAGGAGAATCGCTCGAACCCAGGAGGCAGAGGTTGCAGTTAGCCGAGATTGCGCCACTGCACTCCAGCCTGGGTGACAGAGCAAGACTCTGTCTCAAAAACAAGCAAAACCAAAGCAAACCCGTTTAAGTGGCTGGAATGGTTAATCCCATGGCTTTTCATACACATTGTGCTCACTGTCCTGAAGAAAAGTCGCTAGGATGCGTATTTCTAAAGGAGAAAGCATTTCATTTTTGCTAACAGTGGGTCAGCAGATCCGTGGCCGGCGCAAACTCCGTCCCCGCTTACCACTACTTTCCCCATTATACTTTCGACAGTTCCTGAATATGGTCTTCATGTCATTCACAAACTCCTCCTTGGTACAGTACAGACCTCCATTCAGTTTCTTCTCCATGTTGGAAATATCCATGGGGGCCTGAATGAGACACATAACTCTTTATAGTTTTAAAATATGCTGAGTGCAAAACATTTCATAGAGAGAGAGAGACCGAGAGAGGGCAAGAGAGAGAATGAGAATTCAGCAATGCTGGTCTGTAATGAGCAACAGATAAAAGGAGAAACGTCACATCAACTTTCGACAGTTGAAAAAATATAGTAAAAAAAATACACACACACACACACACACACACACACACACACACACACACACACACACGAGACAAGAAAAAATGACAAACCCAAGAGAAATATACACACGAAGCATTATTGCAAAGACAGCTTCTACCTTAATAATCTGATAATAGTTAGGGGCATAAGATTCATCCACAGGTTCCAAAAAGGGCCAGGAATCCTTGTGAGCCTTTACCACGTCTAGAACTGAGAGCCAGAGAGATCTCGATTAACACACTCACAGACGAACACGCTCATCAGAAACGGAACGGGAGGACGGGAACTAACCTTTATACATGGCAGTGAAATCGTCGTCCAACTCAAGGCTGTAAATCACAAAATAAGAAATTAATAGGAACTCTGAGCACCGTCTCTCCTGCGCTCTCTCAGGTCTACCGCAGACACAGCTGAAATAAGAGGTGGAACAGTCCCAACAGTGTGCTTGAGATGAGCCTGTGACACTGGTAACACTCCCTGGAAATACCATGAGCGACGGCGGACCTTAACAAAACTGGGAATGTCACTTTTCTCCTCTAGAAAATGTGGGGTAGGCCTGGATGATCCAGAACTTGATGGTTCCAAAACGTTCGTTATTTAATTTGCATTCTTTTTCATTTTGTTTTACTTATTCTGAGGCAGGATTTCGCTCTGTCGCCTTGGCTGGAGTGAAGTGGCGTCCTCACAGCTCACTGCAGCCTTGATTTCCTGGGCACCAGCAATCCTCTCACCTCAGCCTCCTGAATAGCTGGGACTACAGGTGTGTGCCGCCATGCCTGGCAAATTTTTGCACTTTTGGTAGAGGTGAGGTTTCCCTATGTTGCCCAGGCTTTATAGCACAGTCTTAAGCAGGCTTTATTTTGCTTATGAGTACTTTTGTGATCTAAATACTAATCCAAAAAAGCATATGATATATGAGCTCATGAACACTGATTTGTTTTTTTTTTTTTGAGATGGAGTTTCACTCTCGTTGCCCAGGCTAGAGTGCAATGGTGCGATCTTGGCTCACCACAACCTCCACCCTTGGAATTCAAGCAATCCTCCTCCCTCAGCCTCCCGAGTAGCTAGGATTACAGGCATGCGCTACCACGCCTGGCTAATTTTGTATTTTTAGTAGATACGGGGTTTTCCATGTTGGCCAGGCTGGTCTTGAACTGCTGACTTCAGGTGATCCACCTGCCTTGGCCTCCCAAAGCGCTGGGACTACAGGTGTGAGCCACGGTGCCCAGCCAACACTGAATAACTGCCTCTTGAATTTTTAGTGAGGAGTAAAGACGCATGTACCTAGTAACACCCCAGGAAGTAATTACTTCAAGAATAAACTGCTATTCACATTTCCAAAGACCTAATTCACATCATAATCAGATTCTGATTTCATTAAATTAAGGGGATGAGGAAGGAAGAGCTTAGTGTAAGGATCACTTCTGCTCCCACACAGTGTGGCAGGAAGGGTGTCAGAGGCCAGGGCAGCTGGGTGTGTGCCTGAGGAAGGGCACCAGGGCTAGCTGTGCGTGCAGGGCCACCCTGTGAACTCCCACACGGGGACAATGTGACCCAACAGGGCTGTTCTAAGGATGAATGGGGAGTGTGCTGAGCAGTGCCTGAGTGCCTGATAAATGCTATCAGCTGCTACTGTTGTTACTAAATACTCACAGGTCCTTCGTCTTTTTTTCCTCCCTCATGGGAGAACTGGGGTCCAGATGGGAAAGTTCTGGAGGGAGCTCCTTCCCTTGAGCCAGCAGCCATGCCCTTTCTTCCCTGAGCTTTCTCCTCTTGGCTCGATCTACAGTGAAGGCAAAGGGTGAGTGAGCTAAGCCCGCTCCGGACGCTGACATGTTCCATCATCACTGCGAGAGAACTGCGAAGCGACTTCCGCTCCTTGCGCCACCCTCTCCTGGGTAACTGGAATGTGTCTACAGATGGAATGCTTTAGGAAAAGGGTAACCTAACTGAACCTGTTTCCTCACACTGAGCTCAAGGTGGGGGACGGAGGTGGCAGGACAGGCACAGTGTGGAGGGGCGGGGAGGGAGCAGGGCAAAAGAAAACAGCAGAATGGCAGTGAAGAGAGAAAGTATAGATTAAACGAGGACTACCTTCTTGGATTACTCGAGGCCATTCCCATCTTTTACTTAAAAAAAGCAACAATTGTAAATCCCTTTTTAGGACCTCACTCTCAGTCCAAACACACACCGGATTTTATATGCACGCCCCAGCTCCTGCTGTTCTGTGTTTATGAAGGCATCCAGGCAGGCAGTGGTCTGCTCCCCAGCCCACCCCCTCAGCAGGCAGCAGGCCCTGCCGCCAGTGAGAGTTTGGCTGGGAACGGGGGAAGGTGGCAGCTGGGACTGGCAAGGAGCCGGAAGGCAGGGATGATTTTTTCCCAGCTCCTGGCCATGGCCGTGAGAAGCATACTCGGCACTCCACTCCCAGCCTCGTGGGGCACTTACCACTCGCAGGGAACAAGGAGGCGGGGGCCAAAGAAAAGAGGCAAGGAGAAAATCGAGACTGCCGGACGGCAAGGCACGAAGACGCAGGGGAGAAGCCAGCACAGAGCCTGTATTTCCTTCTCCCGTTCTGGCTTCCGTTCCGCAAGGGATAGGACCTTTGCCTGCCTGTTGCTGTGAGCAAGTCACGACCCCTGTTGAGTTCCATTTGACTTGAGTGTTTGTTCCTAAATTATTTTCATTTGTGATGCTAATCTGTATCTCTTTTAATTAGTGAAATTTGCTATTATCAATTTTTTTTAAAAAAATTAAATTTTTTGGCCAGGTGCGGTTAATCCCAGCACTTTGGGAGGCCGAGGCGGGTGGATCATGAGGTCAAGAGATCAAGACAATCCTGGTCAACAAGGTGAAACCCGATCTCTACTAAAAATACAAAAATTAGCTGGGCACGGTGGTGCACGCCTGTAGTCCCAGCTACGCGGGAGGCTGAGGCAGGAGAATTGCCTGAACCCAGGAGGTGGAGGTTGCAGTGAGCCGAGATTGCACCATTGCACTGCAGCCTGGGTAACAAGAGCGAAACTCTGTCTCAAAAAAAAAAATTAAATTTTTAAAAACGCAGTTTACTTTCTTTTTCAATCTCTAAGAACTGTTTAAACCGACTTTTATTTTTTTTTCCTAGGGAAAAAAAGAACAATTTCAACCATAAAGAAAACTGTAAATTAATGAATTCCCATGTATCCCCCAAACTATCACATCTTAAACATTTTGTCTTATTAATGTTAATACCGTATTTCATGGTATAATTATTCTTCAGCTTAACAATTCATTATTCGCCTTGATTCCAATTTTAGAAGTCTATAAACAATAGTATCAACAAATTTACTTTTTTTCTATTTTTTTAAACAAATTTATCTTAAAACATGTCTTCTCAAGCATGTGTGTAAGGATTCTCTATGGTGTGAATTCAACAGCAGAATGACCAGATAAGAGTAAAGTATACATACAAACTCCATCAGACACTGTCCAAAGGGTGCCCATCATTTCCAATGAGGTTATTATTATTATTATTTTTAAAAGAGATGGGGTCTCGCTATGTTGCCCAGGCCGGACTGCATTGGCTATTCACAGGTGCGATCCCACTACTGATCAGCACGGGAGTTTTGACCTGCTCCATTTCTGACCTGGGCCGGTTCACCCCACCTTAGGCAACCTGGTGGTCCCCTGCTCCTGGGAGGTCACCATATTGATGCCAGACTTAGTGTGGATACACTTAGTGGGCTGTAGTGCACAGTACACTACAGCCCAGAACTCCTGAGCTCAAGAGATCCTGCAACCTCCACCTCCCGAATAGCTGGGACTACAGGCACGCGCCACCCTGCCTGGCTCCAATGAGTTTATTTTTTTTAAAAGTGCTGTCCAAAATGTTTTTTTTTTTTTTGGAGACAGAGTCTTACTCTGTCGCCCAGGCTGAAGAAGTGGAATGGTGTGATCTCACCTCACTGCAACCTCCACCTCCTAGGTTCAAGAGATTCTCTTGCCTAAGCCTCTTGAGTAGCTGGGATTACGGCCATCATGCCTGGCTAATTTATATATATATTTTTTCTTTTTTTTTTTTAGACGGAGTTTTGCTCTTGTTACCCAGGCTGGAGTGCAATGGCGCAATCTCGGCTCACCGCAACCTCCGCCTCCTGGGTTCAGGCAATTCTCCTGCCTCAGCCTCCTGAGTAGCTGGGATTACAGGCACGCGCCACTGTGCACAGCTAATTTTTTGTATTTTTTAGTAGAGACGGGGATTTACCATGTTGACCAGGATGGTCTTGATCCCTTGACCTCGTGATCCACCCGCCTCGGCCTCCCAAAGTGCTGGGATTACAGGCTTGAGCCACCACGCCCGGCCTAATTTTTATATTTTTAGTAGAAGTGCAGTTTCACCACGTTGGCAAGGCTGGTCTCCAACTCCCAACCTCAAGTGATTCACCCACCTCAGCCTTCCAAAGTGCTGGGATTACATGAGTAAGCCACCGCACCTGGCCTATTCCTACTTTTTAAGTAGCAATCTCATTTACCTCACATTCCTTTAGTATGATAAAACATTTGCATTTTAGCCAAACTCACGAATATAACATACGCTTTGGATGTTTCATGTGCATCTTCCGGACTGGAGTGATATGGAACCTATTTTCTTTCTTTTTTTTTTTTTTTGAGATGGAGTTTCGCTCTTGTTACCCAGGCTGGAATGCAATGGCGCGATCTCGGCTCACCACAACCTCCGCCTCCTGGGTTCAGGCAATTCTCCTGCCTCAGCCTCCTGAGTAGCTGGGATTACAGGCACACGCCATCATGCCCAGCTAATTTTTTGTATTTTTAGTAGAGACGGGGTTTCACCATGTTGACCAGGATGGTCTTGATCTCTTGACCTCGTGATCCACCCGCCTCGGCCTCCCAAAGTGCTGGGATTACAGGCGTGAGCCACCGTGCCCGGCCCACAGAACCTATTTTCACTTTCACTACTGCACATTTCATCTTCGCTTCTGTGAATTTCCTGTTCATTTGTCTTTGTGCCTATGGATTACTAGGGCTAATGATGTGGAGAAACGCTTTAAAATGATCTGGGTAAGTTTTCGTTGATGCTAAAATTACGTACTTCTACTCTGCAATTTGTCTTTTTATTAACGGTGTTTCTGCCACATGGATGTTTCAAATAAATAATGTAATCAAATGTGTCAGTCTCTCTCTCCTCTTACGGTTTTTGCTTTTTGTACTTACAAATTATTTTTATCCCAGTATCTTAAAGATATTCACCTATAACTTCTTCAGAAAGGTTCTGGCCTTTAGCGTATCTGGAAATCTGGAACTTACATAAGGAGCAGGGATGTACATTTTTTCCTTATAAATGAACAAGTGTACTGATACCACGGTTCTCTCCAAAGACACAGGGATCTCGAATTGCTGCCATCACAGCTCACTCTGCAGCCTCGAACTCCTGTGTGTGAAAGATCCTCCCACCTCAGAGTCCTGAGTGGCTGGGACTACAGGCACACACCAGCATCCTGGGCGGGGGTTCTGAAAAACCCATGTTCTCTCTCAAGGTCTGCTTCGGTGTCATTGTCTATCTCCGTGCCAATACCATTCTCTCTTAAACACTGCAGATTTGATCTATTTGGTATAATGACCGTCCCTATCTATTGTTTTTGTAAGTCACCAAGGCTATACAGAGCCCTTTGCTCTTTTACATGAATTTTAGAAACTGTGTTTCAAGATCCATATAATTTTTTTTTTTTTTTTTTTTGAGACAGAGTCTCACTCTGTCTCCCAGGCTGGAGTACAGTGGTATGATTTTGGCTCACTGCAGCCTCTGCCTCTTGGGTTCAAGCAATTCTCGTACCTCAACCTCCCACCCAGATAGGTGGGATTACAGGCATATGCCGCCATGCCTGGGTAATTACTATATTTTTAGTAGAGACAGGGTTTCACCACATTGGCTAGGCTGCTCTCAAACTCCTGAGCTCAAGTGATCTGCCCACTTACCTCCCAAGGTGCAGGGATTACAGGTGTGAGCCACTATGTCAGGCTATCATAATATTTGTTGTTTTTCTTTGAGATAGAGTCACTCTGTTGCCCAGGCTGGAGTGCGATGGTGCAATCTTAGCTCACTGCAACCTCTGCCTCCCGGGTTCAAGCAATTCTTGTGCCTTAACCTCCTGAGTAGCTGTGATTACAGAAGTGCAACACCACATCTGGCTAATTTTTGTATTTTTAGAAGAGATGGGGTTTAGCCATGTTGGCCAGGCTGGTCTCAAACTCCTGGCCTTAAGTGATCTGCCTGCCTTGGCCTCCCACAGGGCTGGGATTATAGGTGTGAGCCTGAGGTGGGAGGATCACTTGAGCCTAGAAGGTTGAGACCAGCCTGCGCAACATAGCAAGATCCTGACTCTGTTTAAAAACAAAGGCGGTTTGTTCCAATCAAATTCAGAAAGGTCTATATACTGCACTTGGTTGCTATGACTCTTAAACCTTGAGTTTCTACTAAGTGTCTCCCTCTCATTTGTTCACTGAAAAAACTGGGTCATTTTGTTCCTGTTGGGTTTCCCACAGTGTGGACGGAGCTGACGGTGTCCTCACTGCAGTGTGAATGTGTTCCCCTATACCTTCTATTTCCCTTAAACTGGCAGTTGTAACAAGGGGGTCTGATAAAACAAACCGACTTTTGGCCAACGGTACTTCACAGACGGCGCTGCGTAGTTTACTCTCATTACAGCAGGAGACGGAATGTCGTCTGCTCTTTTTATGATGCCAAATTTGATCTGTGTGTTCAGGTGCTGTCAGCCTAATCCTTCC